CCGCCGCGCGTTCCCAGGTGAGGTTTTGGTGTCTCGGTGGAAGGTGCCTGCCTGGACGCTCCCAGCACCTGAGGAGGGATGATGCACCGCAAAGGGCGCCAAGTTCTCGATTAAACTCTCACCCGCATTTCCCGTTAAAACATCTCAATTCCCCGGTATCCCTCCTCATCCCATTCCCGAGTCAACTTCCTGATCTTCCTGCCTGTTTCTCCAAGGGAGCCCGAGCGGCTTCCCGAGCCAGAAGACAGGAGAGGAACAGAAGCCGGCAACAGGATCGGCGGTTTCCCAGCGTCCAGAAGACGCTAACTTTAGTTGGGCTTATTGAGTCGTAAGCTGTAACCACGGCGCAGAAGGAAGGTTTCAGGCTAGGAGTAAGGAAGCAAAGCGGCCGCAAGGCGCACTGGCTGGTTGTAAGCTGCCACCGCCGAGCGGTCCCCACGGCCCGCCTGTGTTTGTGTGTCTCTTTGTCCGTGCGTGTGTGTCTGTGTGTGTGTGTGTGTGTGTGTGTGTGTTGGCAGACTGTTGGCAGGCTATTGGCTGAAGGGAGCGTGACGTCACAAGTGAGAGTTCCTATAAACTCCCTAAACATAACGGGCTCCGGACAAGTTCCAGCCGGCAAGGGTTACTTCGAAGCGCGCGGGAGGTGATCAAAGCGAGGCGAGCCGAGGACAAGACGCGACCAAACGCCGTTCAGACTGCTGGCTGCATGAGGCGCACCATCGCGTCCACCCCCCGGTTCGCTTGCCAAGCCCGGCTCTTCTCTTCCAGCTGGCCAGTAGCATCTGGGAGCAGAGTTCCCGCAAAGGTTAAGTGGACGGGGACTTTGGAACTGACGAGCCGACGAAAGCAAGCCGAGCGCGGCAGCGCCCTCTCCAAGAGCCCCGGCGGGATTTGCTCCTATCCCGGATCGCCCGGGGCCGAGAAGAAGAACGAGGGTTGCTTCGAGGGCTACCTGGCACAATGGTGACACTGAGCCCCGTCGATTCGGCGCACCTCGCGCTGAGCGCCAACGGCAGTGACAGACAGAACCCGGACAATTCCACCGCGTCTGAAGAAGGCTGGGTGGTGGGCATGTCCATTCTCATGTCGTTGATCGTGCTGGCGATTCTCTTTGGCAACGTGTTGGTGATCACGGCCATCGCCAAATTCCAGAGGCTGCAGACGGTAACTAACTATTTTATCACTTCTTTGGCATGCGCGGATCTCCTGATGGGCCTGGGAGTGGTCCCTTTCGGAGCCAGCTACATCATCCAGCGCACCTGGGAGTTTGGGGATTTCTGGTGTGAGTTTTGGATCTCAATTGACATCCTCTGTGTGACAGCCAGCATCGAGACACTGTGTGTCATTGCTGTGGACAGGTACTTTGCCATCACTTCTCCTTTCAAGTATCAGAGCCTTTTGACCAAAAATAAAGCCAGGATGGTCATCCTCTTGGTTTGGATCATTTCAATCTTGACTTCCTTCTTACCTATCCAGATGAAGTGGTACAGAGTCAATGAGACGGATGCCGAGGATTGCTATTCAAACGAAGGCTGCTGCGACTTCTTCATCAACCAGGAGTATGCTATCACTTCCTCGGTCATCTCCTTCTATGTACCTTTGGTGGTCATGGTTTTTGTCTACGCCAGAGTCTTCCAGGTCGCTAAGAAGCAGCTTAAAAAAATAGACAAATGTGAAGGACGATTCCACCAGCAAAATTCCAGCCAGGAGCGAAACGCGGGAAAAGGAAACCATAGGAAAGCATCCAAGTTTTGCTTGAAAGAGCACAAAGCTCTCAAAACTCTGGGCATCATCATGGGCACTTTCACTCTGTGTTGGCTCCCATTTTTCATTGTCCACATTGTGCGTGCTATTCAAGAAAACTTGATTTCCAAAAATGTGTATATCTTCTTGAACTGGGTGGGATATGCCAATTCTGCTTTCAACCCTTTAATTTACTGCCGAAGCCCAGACTTCAGGTATGCTTTCCAGGAGATCCTCTGTTTCCGGAGGTCGGCCTTGAAAATGTACGCCAACGGATATTCCAATAGCAATGGGAAAAGTGACTGCAATGGGGATCAAAATGACTATCCTGCAAGTGAACACAAGGCTGACCAATGGCTGTGTGAAGAAGGAAGTCCCCCTACTGGGGAAGAGTTTGTGCATTGCAAAGGTACTGTGTTGCATGGTAGCATTAAGTCCCACCAGACTGAGCATAGCAGAAATGTCCACCTGTTGTCATGATTGTTGTGGCTGTCAGAGGGCCAGAGCAAGGATTATTAGCCTATAGTGACTATAGCCATGGCTCTTGGTGAGCAAATCTTTACCTCAAGTGTGGGAAGAGTCTTGTGTTGTTTTTTTTATTCATGGGCTACAGAAATATTTAAGGAAAGGCATATTGGATTTGAATATGAGAGCCTCCTACTCCAAAGGAAGTGGGTTTTTTTTTCACTTTTATTTTTGTTATGTATTACAATACTCAACTACCTCTTAGCACAACAATGATATTGAATGTATCCGCTGCTCCTAGAGGGAAATTCCTGAAGTCAAGCAGGAATTGAGTGATATTGGCAGTTTTTATCTGCCGATGAGGCAAGAAGTTGGATGGGTTGTACAGTTTTTAGGAATCATGCGAAGTCAAATGTTTACTTTTTTGTATTGTCCATATTAGTAATGAGATTCTGCTTTGCTGCAGCTGACTCCAAGTTTCTTATACTTAGAAAGTATACTGTTAAGGAACAGTTCCCGTATCATCTCAATTAATCTTGATTAACTTCCTCATATTTGGATAAGCATCGTATCTTTTAATATCATCATGTCAGAGTGTAAAGTTTTCTCTAGTATTGCTTCATTCTTTGTTGTCTAATGACAGTTTTCTTCAAATCTTAGGTGTTCAGGAGGTTACAAAATTATGCCTAATTTTGTTAGGCATAGCTAATCCAGCCTCGCTATCCATTCATTACATTAAATATCTACAATTCATGATTGTAGATATCCAAAAAATATCTCATAGATTTAAGTCTGCTTAAAATCTTATTGTGATTCAACAACTCATTAATAAGAATTTTTTTTTTTACTAAGTTGCTGGCATAATCCAAATAATCACAGTGAGATACCTAAGTGGAATGATCTGTTCAGGTTAAGTTGTATTATAATATAAAATAACTTTTCATTTCAAGTGATAGACTAATTAAATCACCGACTGTGTCAATGTTTTCACTTGTCCCTTTCTGTCCCTTTCCCTAATCAAGTCGTGCCGAGAAGCTAAAGGTATTTATTGCTCTGCTGGTTTTAGATCAGCAAGAAGGTTGCAAGCAATGCCCATGTAAGATTCTCTTTGCAAACTTATTTATGATTATGGAGGGATTTTTAAAGGCATCTCACTATTTAAAGTGACCAAGACAATCAATATTCTTTCTCTTTCCATTTTGATTAAATACAGCCCACAAGGATCTGCATGCAATGAGTTCTGGAATACACATGGAATTGATCAGACTCCTCATATTAATTTTGGTTGTTAAATTTGTGCTCCGTGTACTTGACAACTACTTTATCTCTGGTGGTGTTAATCATTACCATTTTAGATTCAGTGAGCTGAATCTGAAGTTTTGCTCCCTTTCTGTCTGTAGAGACAGGTTGGTTTTTTTAACCTTGTATGGCTCTTTCAGAGAGCTGGCTACATAAGTCATTCCATCATGCATTGTATATAATTGTGCAAAAAGTAAAACTGTTTTGTTGCCTTTTCATCCAAATTGCTCTGATTACTGAAGCCATTACAAGATAATTGCCACTCTCCATGACAATTAATTTACAGTAGTCCCCATCCATCTGGTATAAAGTGTTTAAGTTCTTCTTTTAAATATAGAAGTTCCTGCCCCCAAATCTCATAGAAAATATTGACAAATGAGTCTTCAAACACGATTCTAACCTTCTCTTGGTTTCATATTTGAAACTGAGATTTCCTGTGTAAACTCAGAGTGGTTGTGTTAAGCACCTCAAATATAGGCTATGTAGGAGGGAGATGTATATACTGTATGTCATATATGCACATGTGCATTAACTGAACCACCGGATATTTTCCTGTCTGCCGCTGAATGGCTGTGTCCTGAGTCCCACCCCCATCCCTCCCACCTCCCATTGCAGAATCTGAGGCAGCTTACCTGGCAAGGAGAGGTCTATGTTGGCAATAACAAAGTTTATTTGCAATCTCTCCTTTGGCACAGAGCTCCCTCATCTGGTAATCAAAGACTATCTAAAGACTAGCTATCATTATTTTATTTAAATATGCATGGAGAGGGGTGGAGTGTGGAAACTGTGTAAGGGCATGTTTTCTAGAATTACAAAGACTCCTTGCAACTAAGTTGATGATTCATTAAGTTTGTATTTCGAAGGAATCAGCATTTCTAGACAGACTCCAGGAACAGTCTAGGAATGCTCTTCAACATTGTAGAGTGCTGTGTATTTTGAGTACCTGGTTAGGAAGGATTTTCTTCCAAGAAAGGAAGGGAGAAAAGTGGTCTAATGGATAGGGTGTTGGATTAAGACTAGGAAGATCCAGGTTCAAGCCTTCCTCCTGCCCTGGCCAACATGGAAGTTCATTGGGTGACTTTGAGTTTGTTATTTTCTCCCAGTCCCCATACTTCACACAGTTGTGTGTGTGTGTGTGAAAGAGAGAGAGAGAAGGAAAGATTGGAAGAAGGGCTGAGTTGGGCTGGGGGAAAGGGGAGTTACAAATGTAATGGAAAAAAATTAGAGGAGGGGCAGCGACAAAATACAACTAGATTTTGGGAAAATGTCCAGAGCAAGGCTGCTGTCCAGCCACCCCTATCATGTAATTGACCAAACTGAAATCCTGAAATCAATGCCCAATTAAACAGTCTGTCTGTTAGATTTTTTTCCCCAGTGTGTCTCTTTTCTTATGGATTTGCTTGAGGTTCGGTTGCCAGTTCTCTGGAGCTGTTACATGGAAAGTTGATATTCAGACATGAGTCAACAGGTGCAGGAAAAGGAAAAATAGGAGGGGTGTGAGATGAGTGGAGAGTAAGGGCTAGTTCCTTTGGATGGCTGCAAGAGGGAAAAACTGAGCAGTAATAATCTTTGGCTGGAACTCAAATCAGGTTTTTTAGATATGCTTATTGGAGATTGCGGTATGGGCTCTACCACCACATTTCTGTTTGTTTTCAGAGCTCGATGCATGAAAATATTGAAAACAAACTCAATGGAAATTATAGTGTAACCTGCATCCTTTAGAAAATTATGTGCATTTCCATTCTTATTTGATGACCTATATGATTATTCTTAGTAGTGGCAGTATTACGATTACTATGAGCATTGTTATTCCTTTGCATAATATCTGGACTGCTGAGCTGCAGACTTTGGATTTTTTTAAAAAATATATATATATTTGGAGCTCAGAGCTATTTTAAACTCCCCAGAGCATTTCAACTTTTTTTCCCACTATTGTGAGGATCAGGAAAATGTAAAAAAGCATAATGTTTTTTGCTCATTTTTGTTGATAATGAAGTTCTCAAACTTCTGCTATAATAATTTGCCCAACCACAAGTTTGTTAAGAATCAACTCTCAAGATTTATTATACTTATTCTCTGCACTCTTCAGATGACATGCCTGTGAGAAAGCGATAGGAAATCTTTACTTCTGTTTTGATTAACTATGAACTAGTTCTCAATCTAGACTCAACTCAAGGGGTCCTATGAAAATGAAAAGAAATGGGAAGGAGGACAGACTGTCCACAACATGCAGAAGAAAGAGCAAAATAGCAATGTTTTGGTATGATTATTACAAAAAAAATTGTTGCTCTATGACATGGATAAAATCAACTTCATTAATGTCAGAATTTGGCAATAATCTTCTAAGGCACGGGTGTCAAACTTGCAGCATCAGGATGCCATCATGTAACGTTTCACAACATTTTTTCTGTTCGTGGAGCTAGGGTGGGCGTGGCCTGTGCATGGTGCATCTGGTCCACGGGCCGCCAGTTTGACACCCCTGATCTAAGGGCAAGGACATTTTTTTAGGTTTAAATCACATCATATGAGTTTTGAAAGGATCTTTCTTCATTTAGTTCAATTATTCTTCAATAGGTAAGGTGACTTTCTAAGTGCCTCTGTTTCCCTAAAGGCAAAATTTATTTAGTTGGGATACTTTGATTATCAGAGTTACAATATCCTGTTGGGACAGAAGTGTTGTTTTGGTTATGCTATCTGGAAAAAACAGAAAGGTCTAGATTTCATTGCTTGAAATAGCTACTGATCAGCAATGGTGCGTGTCATACTTCAGGCAGCTGGATTAGAAGATTCAGATTAGTCCTCAAGGATTTTAATACAAAATTTCCTAGAATAGAATCTTGATGGGAAAAACATTAGAGAAGAAAAAAAAAGAAGTTACTTATAGGCTTAAACAAAGATAGCTCCTCTGATCCATGAGAGAAATACTCAGACTCCATTATCAAGTGATAATTTTTGGATGGCCTCACTAAGAATGCCATTGAACTGAAGATTTTGAAAAACTCTTTTTTAGAAGAAAACATTATTAAACTTGAACAAAAATATAAAGAAACAAAAAATATATAAATTAGGAAAAAAGGTCAGAAAAAAGCAAGATTAGAAGTGCAGAAAAGGAAAGGAAGAGGGGAAAATAGCAAAAGAGTAGCTTCCACCTTTCTTCAATATAGATATAAATATAAAATACATTAACTTATTAATCTGAAATCAACAATAATACAAAGTATATCTGTAATCATAATAATCAAATCCAAAAATTATAGTTGCATTTCTTCCAGTTTCAAGGAAAGAGTCCAAAAGTGGTTTCCAGTTGGAAAAAAGCTAGACAAGATCTTCTATCTCATCAAAGAAGTCAATTTCACCAATTTGTCAATTCCATTAGCTCCATCATGATAAAATTTTAATGTATTTTAGTCTCCTTAAAAAGTTGAGAAAGTAAAGAATTGTTATATCAAACAAGGGTCTGATGGAGTATTTTTTTTAATTGTTAATTAAAACAGGGGTCTCCAACCTGGGCTGTGGCTCACAACTGGGCCTTTTGGTTATTTGTGACGTTGTTTACCACACATTTGCTTCTTGATGAAAGTAAAAAAGTAAAACAAAAGAAGGAAACCCTTCTAGCTTCCACCAAATGTATTCAAGATTACAAGAGGATAAAGTGATGGCAATTATATAATTATGATAGCTGAAATCATCTTTGTTTAAGAGCTGTGTGTGACCAATGCAAAATGCACTGGGAGAATCTGCCTTTGTTTTGTATATATAAAAGCACTGATTGCACTTTCTGTGGTTTTACACTTAGTTTTTGCTTCACAAACACTACAATGGGCACAACTAAACATATGCCCCTTGTCATTGTACCTTCTGATTGAGAAAATTAATGTAATGTATTTGAAAGCTGTGATGCTGGCGTAAATTACTGCGTATACCATGGACAGCCAGAGTAACTAACAGAGAGGTGTTAAATCATATAAAACCAGACACATCACTAGAAGCTAAAATCATAAGACTATGCCTGATTTATTTCGGCCATGCGTGCAAATTAATTGGAGAGGGCAATGATGCTAGGAATGGTAAGTGAACAAGAAGAAAAGGCAAGCAAAGAACATGCTGGCTTGATAAGATCAAATCTGATACAGTTGAACATCCAACAACTGAAAGAAGCTATGTTGACAGAGATGTGGTGGCTCAGTGGCTAAGAGGTTGAGCTTGTCGATCAGAAAGGTTGGCAGTTCGGCAGTTCGAATCCCTAGCGCCATGTAATGGAGTAAACTCCCGTTACTTGTCCCAGCTTCTGCCAACCTAGCAATTCGAAAGCACGTAAAAAATGCAAGTAGAAAAATAGGGACCACCTTTGATGGGAAGGTAACTGTATTCCGTGCTCCTTTGGCATTTAGTCATTCTGACCGCATGACCACGGAGACATCTTCAAACAGCGCTGGCTCTTCGGCTTTGAAATGGAGATGAGCACCGCCCCCTAGAATCAGAAATGACTAGCACATATGTGCAAGGGGAACCTTTACCTTTCCCCTACCTGTGTTGGCAGGATAGCATGGAGAGGATGGTGCC